AGAACAAAGACTTCGGCTTCTTTAGCCTTCGTAACTTTGTTGTTTCATATTTTCATATGTTTAGGCTAACTCTTTCGATGATGTCATTGAAGCTTCCATGTGTTGCTTCGGATGGCTAACTTAATACGAAAAGTAACATATATTATTCTTCAACCAACTTGATTCTTCATCTGATCAAATTGAGTTAGGGTAAATTGAAGGAATGTATATTAGGAAACCTTGTTATCACCATGTTTAGATAATTGAAAAAATATACTCCTTTCGTCTCATTTATGTAGAGTGACTTTCCTTATAATATACATACACACATACATAAAAGACAACTTTTAAGACTCACTTGGGGTATTATAAATTTGTTGTAATGTCTTTTCCACGTTAATAATATAATAGAATATAGCACCATCACTTGTGATTAGGAAATTCCTTTTTGAAGTTTCAGTAATAATTCTATGAAGAATCTCTTGATTAGTAAATTAAGCTCGAATCCCTTGTGATGATAGGATTCTCTCTTTTGGTCTTGGCCTTAGTTGCTAATTAAATTAAAGACATCATTTCAGAGGCGCCATTTTTCTTAAGTAAAATAAGTGGAAAACTAGTAGCTGTCTGAAAATACGATAATTGAGAAACTCTTCAAATTAGTATTTTGGAATAGATAGTATGTTTGAATCTCTAAATTTGGAGAACTCAAATCACTCTCTATATTTAAATGAATTCAAAGTATTTCAATTTTTAATGGAGAAAAATAATGTAATAATTTGGAAGGAAGCTAGTAAAATAAAAAGATAAGAAAAACAATAAATATTTTTTGAAAGTAGTAAAATTAAGTATTAAAATAAAAAGTTTGTTGAAGTATCTAAAAAAATTTATTCTCTGAATTTATAGATGTTTTCAAAAATGTTAAATATGCTTTTTAAAATAGAGAATCTTTTGAAAATACTTTAACATTAGTTATTGATTGCAATTGATTTGAAATAATTACTCCGAAATGTGTAATGGCTCTATCTGTTCATTCAAAAAAAAAAAAAAATGAGTTTTGCATTTTTACGAAGCAAGATAAACAAATAGAGGAGGGGGGGGGGGGGGGGGGGGGGGG